ACATTTAAAGACAGTAGCCAAAGGTCTTATTCCCTCACCCCCTGCAGACAAGAGCATGGCTATAAAATGATATAAGGATGGTCCTTCAAAGGTAGTGTACAGAAGCAAGCATCCAGGATATGGGATAAATGTCTAACACACACAAGAGCAAATGGTTCCCAAGCTCCCACAGGCAGTTTAAAAGCCTCTATTTATGGAAAAACAATGGCCATGGCACAGATAATCTTTCTTCACTGTGTATTAAAGGAGGCCCTAAAAGTCTCTGACAGCCACTTCTGAATGATCAGATAAATGGGTGGATGAGATGGGTGATAGACTGCTGTGGAATCACCCTTTTGTACCCTGGGGAAATGTGTTGCTCTCGTTGTTAATAAAGAGCTGATTGGACAATAGCTAGGCAGGAAGAGGTTAGATGGGAGAGCCAAACTCGGAGAACGCTGGGAAGAAGAAGGGCAGAGTCGCCAGCCAGATGCAGAGGAAGCAGGCCAAGAATTTACAATTAATAAGTCTCTGTGTGATTATTTGGGGAGCCGGCAGTCCCAACAGAAAAATTTCGCCTACAGCAGACCAACCCAGCCACTTTGCTAGGGTTATTTGAAAAGCCACGTAGACTTTCCCCAATTACACACACAGTCCGCCACGGCCAGCCTGCATCCTCAAGCCCTGGCTGTGTCCCTACCATTTGAAATCATTTCTGCTGCGTATCCAACACTCAGATGAGAAGTCAAAAATCCATCATTTTGAAGTGCCTGAGTATCCAGATGTTTGCTTATCAAAAAATACAAGCACTGTGCTTGCACTCATTGAATACATATTTATTGACAACTGTGCAGTCACAGTGCCTGAGTCTCCTTGGCCCTAGAGAGTGCAAACTGAGTAAGATTGATTAGGTCAGTCAAGTTCACAAAACCAAATCACTTTGAAATGGAGGCAGAAAACAGCTGTGTAAAAAAACCTATACACCTGGCAGTTTCTAGACACCTTCATGTGACACTCCTTCTCTGTTCATAGCAGCTGTATGAGCAAACACCAATACAGGTGAAGAAACACAAACTTGGGGGTCAGATAACTTACTCAAGTCCCACAGCTATCAAGGGTCCAGGTAAGAACTGCAGCTGGTCCCTCTGCCCAGCCCCTTGTAGGGCAGATGTGGCAGGAGGCAGAGAGTAGACAGGACTGGCTCTGCTTCCCTCTGGCTGCTCCTTTCAGGAACTGGAGAACTGTTCTGAGCCTTGGTTTCTTTATGCAGCTAACAGAATCACTGTGCCTCTCCTAGGAGCCAGGCAGGGTACTCAAAATCAATACACATGGGGACCCCTGGCTTTGAAGCCAACACACATTAGTTGCCCTTCAAATACTAACAACATGGGTGAAAGAGACTGCAATGTCTCCCTCCCTTCCTCTGTGGTCCTCTGTACCAGCATCCTCTGTGGTCCTCTGTATCAGCATCCTCTGTGGTCCTCTATACCAGCATCCTCCGTGGTCCTCTGAACCAGCATCCTCTGTGGTCCCCTATACTAGCATCCTCTGTGGTCCCCTATACCAGCATCCACTAACACCACTGAGCAGGCAGCTGGACTCCCTGAAGCCATGTCTCAGAGTGAAAGGACGTTTCTTAGGTCTCTGCACATTCTTGCATCACAGCCTGGCCACACTGCACCCAGTGTGGAAAGAAGAGGACAGGACAGGCCTGCAGCCAACCCTAGGATGAGACAGTCTGGCTCTGGAGATAAAGTCTGCCCATCTTAGAAACATTAAGACAGAATTGGGGGATGCACTAGAGAACTTTCCAAAATGCATCATCTTCAACCACAGAGTGGGAGGAGACTGGAATCATGGCAGGCTTCCTCATACACTCTCATCCTGGACTCCATCCCACAGAGGAGCTGAGCTGACGTCCCTGGGTGCCCAACCAACCGGGAGATCCAGGCATCATCCACAACCCCAATGCTCACAGAACAAGGTTTTCATTGTCTTTTTTTCTCCCCTCCTTCCAGTCACTTAAAGTCATTGTCCTGCACAACTCCTAAGCAGCCTAGGGATTACCTAGCCTGGTCAGGGGCTGGTCTTGCTTGGATGTTTTGAATCCAAATCACCATGAAACATCTTTTTTTTTTTTTTTTTTTTTTTTGGTTTTTCGAGACAGGGTTTCTCTGTGTAGCTTTGCGCCTTTCCTGGAACTCACTTGGTAGCCCAGGCTGGCCTCGAACTCACAGAGATCTGCCTGGCTCTGCCTCCCGAGTGCTGGGATTAAAGGCGTGCGCCACCACAGCCCGGTTGAAACATCTCTTTTTAACAGCCATGTTTAAAAAAAGAGGGAGCTGAGTCCCCAAGTCTACTAGTCTCATTTGATGTCCCTGAAAACTTCAAACTATTAGACAAGATTATCTACTTGGGCTGAGGATGCAGCTCGGTTGGTAGACTGCTGGCCTAGCATGCATGCAGCTTTGGAATCAATGCCTTGCATAACACATAAACTGTGCATGTCGGTGCATATTGAGTCTGAAGCCAGCCTGGGATACAAGGGACCCTGTATCAAAAAAAAAATTATAATATTCCAATTCTAATTCTACTTTAAGTAAACCTCAATTTCTTTGTCTGTTAATAGTTCCTCCTTAAAGGGCTATCCCAAAGAACAGATCCACAATCTATGAGCCAAATCTAGCTCACCTACCTAGGAGCAAAAAGTAGATTTTACATTTTTAAGTGGTTGACAAAATCAAGAGAAGAACACCTTGTGACTCAAAGAGTATGTGAAATTCAAATGCTAGGACCCACAAGTAAAGTTTTATTGGAACACAGCCACACACATTTGCATGCTACCTCTAACAGAAGCTGCATCATGGTGCTAAAAACCTTCTGTCCACAAAGCCTAAAATATTTACTTTCTAGCACTTCACAAAAAAATGCTTGCCAACCCTCTGGTCAAGAGAAAACAATGGAATACCTAGCAAGTACCTACAATAGGCTGAACAACCTAAAACACGTCAGCCACTAACACTTAGGTCCTGTGTGGCCATGGTATCCATGCCACTTGGGGTTCAGTTTTTGGAAATACATTCCCAAGTATTTACAAATTATTATTATTATTATTATTATTATTATTATTATTATTATTTCTTAAAATGTTTTTCTAGTGGGGCTGGAGAGATAGCTCAGGGGTTTAAGAGCACTGTCTGCTCTTCCAGAGGACCTGGGTTCAGTTCACAGCACCCACATGGCAGCTCACAACTGTCTGTAACTCCAGTTCTGGGAGACCCGACACCCTCACACAGACACACATGCAAGCAAAGCAACAATGTCCATAAAGGAAAAGAAAATCTTTTTGTAATGAGGTAGATCAAACCTAGATAGGCCTTGAGATGCCAAACAAGCCCACTACCCCCTGAACTACAACCAAAGCTTCCCTTAAATTATTTTGAAAATCATTGCATAATTGCATAATTCCAACCCCCACCACCTCCAGAACACATAAGGATATCTAGTCCTCAAACAGCCCGGCTAACACAGAACGCATTGTCCCGACCTCACTGAAAAGTCGTGGAAGAGGGCCCATCCATCCAAATGTTGTTCTCTGCTCTTATCTTTATCAAAATACACAGTCCAAGGACGTGAAACGGAAGCCGGAATGAACAGAGGCCGCTTGGTTTCACTGCCTCTCAGAGCTGAAGGGAGAAGTTCTTAGAAGTCACTGGATCTGACCCCTCCTGTTTCCTCATGAGCAACTAGGCCCAGGGGAAGCTGAGGACGTCCCCCATCCCCTCATCTGCACGCTTCGCCTGGATGTGAAGTCCCCTGCTGTCCTCCCTGACACCCCACTCCCTCTCTTTGATTTTAATTGTTTGATTGAAATAGTATGTCCTGGCTGTCATATGATGTGACGTTATAAAAAAAAAAAGGAAGGAAGGAAAAAACAGTGGACGTGCAAACACTGGCTGATTAGATGTTAGGAATCTGGAAAGTAAATCAAGGCATTGTTGAAACAAAGTACATCTATCCTGCCCAACCTTGGCATTCATTACCCAGTCAAGGCTGCCTTTTGATTTCCCTAATCAAGAACCAGCTGTTTAGCCAACCTCCTCTCGCCTGGGCTCCCGCCTCCCTGGGCTGCCTGGGATGCTTCGGAACAGGTGAGAGAGCTGTGGGAGTCTGCCCTTCACATAGCGGGACAGAAGAGCCTTTCACTTTCTCCTGCATGTCACGACACCAGCCGAAATTACCTTTAAATGAGGAAGAAAGTCATTATTTCATCAATAGGATTGCGTCAATTGAGGAAAATTTGTCTCCAGTGTAAACAAGCGGAACGTCTTTGCGCTCTATGAAAACACGGTTAAATTACTTGCAGATCCGGGCGCCGGGGAGAGATGTAGGAAGTGAACCTGACACATTCAAGGTCTGGGAACTGAAAATAATAGGAATTGTTCTGAGTTTTCCAGTGGAATGGAGCACAGAGATGCACTTGCCTCCTTGCAGATTCAAGGACTCCTGGGCTCCCCCTACACTTACGGGAGGAGGAACAGGGAGAAGAGGAGGAGAAGAGAGAGGAAGAAGAGGAGGAAGAAGATGACTACCAAAGCCATCAAGAGAGGCAGCAACACCCGAAGGGAAATGCAGCCCAGGCCAATCAGTCCCTCTCAAGCTGGTCACTGTCAAGGACAGCAGACAGCCAGAACCTGGACACTGAAGTTTCGTTAAACTAAGAAATGCCCAGGTCCCCCAAGCCCAGACTTTGAACAGCCTCTTCCTCGGCTCCATCATTCCACCTAATAACCCATATTGAGAACATATTGTTATAGTGGCAGCCTCAGAGTGAGGTGAGCCCTGTCTGCTGTTTAGGAGTATACCCGTCTTAGAGGGAGAGGTCATGAGATTTGCAGCAGGGCGGGCAGTTCTGATATTTCTATGACCACTGTCCCAGTCTTCTTGGGACCTACGGCTTGATAAATGTCATCCGTGTGCTTCATGCTGCAGAATGCTTAAGGAATGCACGTCAGACCTACCTTCTGCATGTCCCCACAGCCACAGGGAGAAGAGCACAGGGCATGCCTCATGCCTCACACAGCTCAGCATGTCTCAGGATTCTTGACTGAATAGTCTCTGCCCATTTCCATCCCTGGTCCTCTGCTCCATCCATGTCGACACGGTGGACCTCCTGAGATGAGCTTGGCATGGCAAGTGTGCTTGCTGGCATGGTGAAATTGCAGGTGGGGAGGTCTACATTCCCTGCTTCCCGGAGAACTTCTTGGTGGGGGCGTGGCCTTTGGGGTCTTCTCACCAGCTCAGGAGACCACGCTCATGTCAGGTGAAGCTTGCTCATACTCTCAATTCCTCAGTGGTGGAACTGGAACAAAAGACATTTTAACTCTAGACCTGATCATAGCCCAACTCTAGGATGGAAACATGAACGGGTGGCTCATAGCTGATCTACTTCCTTCAACGGCCAATATTCTTTTACAGGTCCTCTGTCGAGGATCAGAAAACCTCACAGTAGGCCCATGTTACTTTAACAGGAATCCAAGGAGGCCCAGGCCAAAAGGCCTCTGGGTCTGTCCCAGGAGAAACTGAGTCTTGCTGGCCTGAGTGTGTGCTAAGACAGCCTGGCTATGGGAGTAAAATACTTAACCTAGCAAAAAGAGAAAATGTTTCTAATGTTGGCTGGGGGAAAAATGAAGCGTGTTTGACCTGGGAAGAAATAAAAGACATGGCAGAGTGTGGAGGTGACAGATGAGAGGATTCGGAAGCAGAGCAAATAAGAACTCCTGGATTGTCAGTCAGGGATCCAGATAGACTAGGGGAGGCTGGAGGTGACGGAGGAAGCAGATCCATCCAGGTCGGGGATGGGGCCAGCCAGCGGGCTCCACAACATTAGACAGTCTCCCCTTTGTGCTGGCATTATCTGACTTGTCAAGTGTACAGCCACGTTACCTTCCAGAGTGAGCGGGAAAGCAGGTATCGGGGGCTGTCCGAAGGCCTGGCTGTGGTTCAGTTCGTGCACAACACCATGACAGACACAGAAAACAAAGGGGAGGGCAGGAGGGACTTGAGAGACCACAAAAGAGCCTTTATAATTAATTACGCCTCCGCCCGTCTCCAGAGCAGCCTCGCCCCCACGCCCGCAGAACTGCCCGGCCCGTTTGGGGTAGCTGTCATCCCTAGATCTGCGGCTCTGTGGAGCGGCTGCCTGGCACGTGCCTACTAACAACTCTACCGACTTGACGGGAGCTGTTCCGTGCCACCCCTCTCCAGGCTAAAGAGCTGCCGTCCTTTTAACCTTTCCTTCATGGCCCCGATTCGCCATGCCTTTAATCATCCCTGACACTTTCTGTCGCAACCTCCAGTCCCACCACATCCCCCACCTCACCCCCTCCACCCCCAGGGTGGAGAAGCCGAGCCAACTGGAATGATGGGCTGTGTGTGTCGTCTTCTCTGTGCCCGTGGGCCTGGCAGCTGTGGGTCTTGGGAAGTCTGTGGCATGGCAGCCCCGGGCAGTTAGGGCAGCTCAAAACCCAAATGGCGTTCTTCCCCACTCCCTTGTGTGTGTTACCCCGGACCAGAAAGTCACCAGATCCAAGAATCTCTTTGAGTTGATTCTCATCATTTTCCTTCTGCCACTATCCTCACTACCCGACCCCAGAGCAGGACCCCTCCCCACCTCACTCCACCCCACCCTAACCCCCCACTCCGACCCCCACCCCACCCCCGTCTATCATGTGGACCCAGAGCATAGCTCCGCCCCCACAAAGTCCACCCTCACCAGCATCTCTGCCAGAAGATATAAAAGCTGGCTTTTGAATAAAATTTAAAGGAGCTGGTTTATCCTGAAATAAATTCCCCAACTTTGGTGCGGAAGGGTCTGAGTGGGTGAGGAGGGGACTACCTGTGTAAGCATGAAAACCTGAGTTCAGATCCCCAGGAACACATGACGTCTGGGTACAGCAATGGGCATGTATCTGTGACCCCAGCACTGTGGGGTAGAAGTGAGGGGGGCAGGCAGAGGTAAGCAGGTCCCAGGAGCTAGTGAGCCGGACAGCCAAGCCGACTCCGTGATCTCCAGGTTCAGTGAGAGGCCCGGTCTTGAGAAGGACCCTTAATGCGGACCTCTTACCTACAGATGTATGTACACATATGTGCATACACACCCACCCACACATGTGAATACGTACACAAACACATATTGTGGTGGTCTGAATAAGAATGCCCCTCCCATAGCCTCATATATTTGAAAGCTTCATTAAGGAGTGGCACTATGTGAGAAGGATTAGGAGGTGTGGCCTTGTTTGGAGTAGGTGTGGCCTTGTGGGAGGAAGTGTGTCACTGGGGCTGGGCTTTGAGGTTTCAAAAGCCCAAGCCAGGTCCAGTGTCTCTCTCTTTCTACTGCCTGAGGATCCAGATGTAGAACTCTCAGCTCCTTCTCCAGCATCATGTCTGTCTACATGCCGCCATGCTTCCTACCATGATAACAATGGACTAAACCTCTGAACTGTAAGCCAGGCCTGATTAAATGCTTTCTTTCGTACGAGTTGCCTTGGTTGTAGTCTTCTCACAGAGAGAGAACACTGACTAAGACACATACAAGCACATACATTAAAAAGGTGAAATAGGATCTTTAAAATCGGAAACCATCGTTATCAAGTCCTCCACCCAGGCGAGAGCCTTCTATTAGTTCCCCGATGTACATGACTACAGTCCAATGTACCAGATTACAGTTCCAAGGGCTTTCAGGCCTTCTTCTATGTCTGCGTCTGATCTGTATTCCCAGAGCCCTTCCTAGTCTATCTCCTCCTCAATTCATCTACCACAGCCCCACACCCATACTTTATTGGACATTGTTTAGGTGTCTGTGAATATATAGGTTAGGACTCTTTGACCGTAAGTGATGGAAATCAGCTGTACCTAACCTGAAGAACAGGAGTGATAGACTGGAAATGAAAGGCCATATCAAAGCCTGGCATGGTGGCACACACCACTCATCCCAGCACTCAGGATGCAGAGGCAAGTGGATCACAAGGTCAAGGGCAAACCAGGCTACATAGCAAGATCCTGACTAAGAGAGAAAAAGAAAATCAAAAGAAGCAAGGGCTGAGAATGTGGCTCTCTGTGCTTGCCCAGCAGCTGTATGGCTTTGCCTGAAATGTGGACAAATGTCTTTTCACCCCACATAGGGCACGGACAGCACACCAAAGAAACGACTCCACCCACCTTGGAAAGATCAGTGGGTTTCTTGTAGTTGTTTATGGGTGGGGCATGAATCCGCGTCAGCAGAAAGCACACCCAGGCACAATTGACAGCCCATGAATGCTGCAACCTTGGGCTCCCTACCCGACTCCCAGACAACTCCGAAGTGAGTCTCCTCTCCCTAAAAGAAAGTCTGAGGGTGTGAGTGCGGGGTCCAGGGAGTGTGGAGTGCTTTTGTAGCCTTGGGAAGGGAATTGCTGAGCCTTCTAAGTTTTGTAAGCTCCCTGGATCTAAGAGGAGCCTCCCTGTCCTTCTGAAAGAATGTCAAGTCAATGGGAATGGCTACACAACGTGTGTGCTGGGTCCTGGGTTTGAGCCTCGGAACAGAAAGAAAAAACAATAAAGAGAGAGAAAAGTAGTAAAGAGAAAAGAGAGGGGATGGGGGGAAGAGAGAGAGAAGGGGAGGGGAGGGGAGAGGAGGGGAGAGGAGGGGAAGGCAAGGGAGGGGAAAGATACAGTCCACAATTTAGAGTCAGGCTTGGGAAAGGACAGAGCACAGGACACGTCTGAAGATCCTTCTAGAACACCAGGTGATCATTACAGCTATCTTCTATTCTGATTTGATTTCAGGATCTAGAACCTGGCCACCCTACATGATCAAGGGACTTTTATGGTTGGCCACCCCAGCAAATGCTGTAGCAAATAAAACCACAAGATGCCCTGCTAGACTTGCGTTTCCGCTGAGTAGAAGCAATTGTCTGTTTAAAGGCATCCCGCGCAGCATTGCCTGAGATCACGCTTTTGCTTCACTGAGCTCTGGGCCGAGGTAAACTCTTCTGGGAGGTAAACGTCCCCTCTGATTCACGTCTGCACTGCTCACCCTGGACCCCACACTCACAAAGGCTTCAGCTTTTTCTCAAGATGGCTGTAGCTGTGATTTCTTCCCGGATCATTTTAATAACCCAGCTTAACTTGTCTCAAAACTATATACTAGCTGACACAAATACAACTGTACATGGGTTTTTCACAATCATTATTATTTATTTCCTTTTGACCTCTACCAAGGGGAAAAACTATTTTATTCTTTGACGGTTTTACATGGGTATATAATGCATTTTAACCGTTTGCACCTGTTACCTTTCCCTCTCCTGAAAATTCCTTCTTCCCAAGAACGGATTATTTTATTAAATAAGGGGCCCTTCTCCTTTTCTTGTCTTCAGTTTGTTCTGTTTTCTTAAAAAGAAAAAACCTGTCATTTGCTCTTGATACTCCTGAGCACACGCTGTACATTTTCACGTTCATTATTCAATTCTTGATCACCTGGATGAGCTAAGTGGTGAATTGGCTTATGTAATAGAGTCTCCCATTCCACGGGTGAGAAATTTAGACATTTGTGTTTCTGTCTTTTGAACATGCTCTCTCTCTCTCTCTCTCTCTCTCTCTCTCTCTCTCTCTCTCTCTCTCTCTCTCTCTCTCTCTTATCACAGCAATCCTCAAGGCTCTGTTTCCTAAGTACTGAGATTACAGACATAAATCGCCACGTATGTCTTAAGAAATGAAGACTTTGAAAGGTGGATTATAAAGGCAGTTACGGATTCAAAGTTGTGGTTCCAGGAAAACTGACCTGACTTCCCACTACCCAATCAGTTCTGTGTGTACTGTGACCATGTTTGTGCTCAATACATGTGAACACGCCCAACCAAACCCATCCTTCCTCCCCTGGACCCTTCTCAACCTGCATGTGAGATGATTTGCAGCAGACCTGTAATGATTTGCAGCAGACCTGTAAGAAGTCACCAGGGAATTTCCAGAAGTCCCTGGGCTTTAACCAGGATAAACCATCCTTCTGGCTCCCCTTCACTTGAGGATGCAGGAGCTCCTTCTAACCAAATAAGATGCTTTGGTTTATGACTACCATTGGATATAGATCCTGGGAGAATGGGGTTTAGGGCTGGGTGTAAACAATACCTCTCTGCAAGGAGGCCAGTTGCTCAGCTGACTGGAGCGGCAAATCTTCAGGTATTGTGATTGGATACCTAGAAACTGGTTTCACATGCTGGAAGCCATGTAAGTGTTTCATGAGGGGATGCTGGGCCTCTAGGAGGGTTTCCCTTGGGCTGGAAAGATAGCTAAGCCATTAAAGGTTAAGACTCACAGCCAAACCTTCAAGAGGGTGTTCCTAGGTGCAGGTATATGTATGAACCCAAGGAAAAAAGAAAAACTAGCTATAGGCCAAGATGCCCCAATTCCTTAAAAAAATAAAATAAAATAAAGCTGGAGCTCAGAGGTACCACCTTTGTTCAGCATGATGCCAAGGAGACAGATAAGTATTGTCTTTATAAAGACCATTCACAAAGACAATGATAAACTTGATCAATGAAACTCATAGCCACAGCTAGGAAGCTTTTCTTAAATGTTATTCTCTTCCCAATGCAGTTCAAAAGCCATCCATGAGATTAGTTTTTTCAGAGCTGCTTAAGGTTGGTCTTCTCAAGATTTCCACAGCCTCACAGGTAGAGCTCTCTGGAGACCTCAAAAATGCCCTTTGAACATCTTCATAGTCTCATAAATGATCAGCCAAGGCAGCAGAATGCACAGGGTACAAGTAATACTTGGGCTTTGAATGGGCTGAAACTACTATTTAGAAATCATGTGACCTTGAGGAAACAATGTCTCTCATCCCCAGACTCTTCCCTAGAAAATGAGTATGATGGTATTGATTTTATAGAAGTCATAATTAAATAAGTAAGCCCTGTGTTGGGAACTCCAGGCACATCATCAGCAAATAAATTTGTAACTCAATAACAGTCACAGTTGTTCCCGTCATCCATACCTCTGCCTTTGGTTCAGCTCTGATTATGAGTTGCTATTCTGCATTCTTTCATGGTGTGAAACAAGACCATCATGTGACGGGACCGATGGACACTTAGATGTTAGTTATGGCCTGAGCCAAACAGCCTGGCTCTCTATGCAGGGCCACTGTCAACTCCAGACATCTCAATCCTCAGACACAAAGTGGTTTTCAGAGCAGAGTTTTCTTCGGCTTGTTTATTTTTATAAAGGGTGTTCACTAGGCACAGTGTGTCGTGTGCTAGAGGATCAGATGTACAGTAAATCAAGGGACCAGATTGTGAAACTGTGAAAAGGGCCAGCATGGAATTTACCTTGTGGATAATCTCCTATGGTAATAACTATTTAGTAAACCTATGACCTCCCTCGGGAATTTTGCAGGTTGAAGGTAATGGAAAGCGGGGATTTCTGTCAGGAGATGAGTTTACCCTTCAAGGATTCCTCAATAGACTAGACTATAGCATTGCAGTGCCCCCATATCATTAAAGAAAGAGAGAAAGCGAGAGAGAGAGAGAGAGAGAGACAGACAGACAGACAGACAGACAGACAGACAGACAGACAGGGCTGGAGATATGGCTCAGCAGTTAGAGTGCACACCGTTCTGGGAGAAGAGCCGAGTTCAGTTCCCAGCACCCACATCAGAGTGCTCAGAGCACCTCACAACCTCCTAGAACCTCCAGCTCTAGGGCACCTAACGTCCACTTCTGGATGCTGTGCGTACCAAAATACACGTGTTTATACACACACACAGAGACACACGTGCATATGCATAATTAAATATTAGCATTTTTTTAGCCTTTTACAAAAGACAAAGAACACTGGTAACTTCCTTTTCCTGGGGAGAGAAGCAGCAGAGATGTGCTAGGAAAAACAAGCCCTGTTCCTTTTCCCTGACCTACTTGGCAACATCAGAACACACTTGACAGGAAAACCTGGGAAAGCTTGATATTAAGTTTGAAAAGTATGAATTCCCATAACAATCAGCGAATAAAGGAGCAATATTTTTAGTCCTTCACAGGAGTCTGGTTATTATTACCATTAATGCCAAGTGTCTTGTTCCTATTCTTTTTGATTTCAGGTCATTTTCTCTGTAAAAAGGCCTGCTTTGTCAAGCACTGCGCGCTGATGTTGATTCGGGTAGAAAGAGGACCGGGCAAATGGGGAAATATTACCTTGGACTGAAACATTGGAGTGCCTCGTGACGAAAACACCTCTGCCTTTGTTCTGATCCTGGTGCGGCTCTCTGGTCTTCGTTTTCTAGCATAGTGTGTTCACTGCCCCATGCTCCGCTCTGCTGATGATCGTGCCTCTCACTTGAGTATGGCAATTGCCAAGGAAGGGCTCCAAAACTCTGAGCCCACCTCATCAGGACCGGTAGTGACCTGGTCAAAGGACATCGAAGTCAGTACACATATCTAGAAAATGACCCCATGGTGTTGGGCCTGTCTTCCAGACAATGAGAAAGAAACTGAGAGAGTGGAATCTTGCTCAGGGATACACAGCTGGGGCCAATCCACTATCCCTAGCCCAGGGGGCATTTTATCTGGACAGGTTATTGTTCCATCTGCTTAGCAGAGGCCACAGATGCTGCTAAACATCCTACAGGGCACAAGACTGTCCCCTGTCCAAGACTTATCCAGCCTTAGATGCCACTGGGGTGAAGATGAAGAAGGCCAGCGACACATGAGGCACAAAAAGCCTACAGTCAGGCCTCTGGCCACTCACCCAGCCTGACTGTGTCCCAATATCCTTTCCTCTAAACTCCAGGTGCTCAGACACCTTCTGGTTCTCTCTACTCTGTGGGCAAATCCCTCAGCGTGTTCAGATCCACCAGCTAACCTAGGCTTCTAGTCAAGCAAGGCTTTCTCACCCCCGGATCAGTCCACAACTTCTTTAATTTTCCCAACCAAATCAAGTCAGTGCCCAACTCTCTCCTCTCTTCCTGTCCTGAAATGGGATTAAAGTATCTCCCTGGCATTTCTGACCATCCCAAGGGCAGAGCCCTGACTCCTCGTCTCAGATTTGTGAAATGATAGTGCTGACTGGGGTCTGAGGGTCTGTGTTGAATCCCAGCCTCGTGGAATCCACCTGGGACCTGGGTCAAAGCACTCATGACCCCTCTGTGACTTTGTATAGTTAGCTCCAGTATGAAGATAGTAACTTCCAGCTCATGGGGGTATTGTGAGGATTATGAGAGACGGGATTAGACAGGGTTTAAGAACTGTGTCACACCTATGGTGAGCACATTTTTAAAGTTTCCTGTATCATTATTTCTTTGATAATTAAAACATATAGACACAACTGGAGATTATTATGTTAAGCAAAAGAAGGCAGACTCAGACAAATGTAACGTGTTCTCCCACAGACTCTAGGTGTGGTGTGGTGTGTGTGTGTGTGTGTGTGTGTGTGTGTGTGTATGTGTGTGTGTATGTGTGTGTATGTGTGTGTGTGTGTGTATGTGTGTGTGTATGTGTGTGTGTATGTGTGTATGTGTGTGTGTATGTGTGTGTGTGTATGTGTGTGTATGTGTGTGTGCATGTGTGCGTGTGTGTGTGTGTATGTGTGTGTATGTGTGTGTGTGTATGTGTGTATGTGTGTATATGTGTGTGTATGTGTGTATGTGTGTATGTGTGTATGTGTGTGTATGTGTGTGTGTATGTGTGTGTGTGCGTGTGTGTGCGTGTGTGTGTATGTGTGTGTATGTGTGTGTGTATATGTGTGTGTATGTGTGTGTATGTGTGTGTGTATGTGTGTGTGGTGTGTGTGTATGTGTGTGTGTATGTGTGTATGTGTGTGTGGTGTGTGTGTATGTGTGTGTATGTGTGTGTGTATGTGTGTGTGGTGTGTGTGTATGTGTGTGTGTGTATGTGTGTGGTGTGTGTGTATGTGTGTGTGTATGTGTGTATGTGTGTGTGTATGTGTGTATGTGTGTATGTGTGTGTATATGTGTGTGTATGTGTGTGTATG